CAGAGCAAAAGAGCAAAAGAAAATAAAATGCAGAACGTATACCATGATTGATAGAGATCAAAAAAGCATGTTATCTGCAGAACTCATGATCGCTGGAAATAATGCAGGCAATGAACTTTGATAACATTTTCTGTGAGGAGGCACAGGTAATATGTTAAAGAGTCACTCATGGCTCTAAGGAACTATGGTCTCAGTAGTACTGCACTAGTAGGGTCTTGAAATATATTTACTGCCAGTAAGCTTAGCGTGCACAATACAAGAGAAATTTGGATTTTTCTCCCTATTGCACATAAACACGAACTTTCTAAAATTAGGTACACAAGAAGTGTTCCTGAATAAAAACAAAGAGCATCAACTGAAAAAAAAAAATTAGAGAAACAGAAAACTAGTGAAGGGGAGAAATTCTTAATGTATATATTCTACCATATAGCACAACAGAAGAAAAAAATATAATGGACGCTAATTTTTATATACATAAAGAAATACATCAAGCTTATGGTTTCACTTGAGAGAATTAATTATATGTGGAAACAAGGAGTACAGACATGATCCTGGAAAAAGGAGTAAGACACTTGAGAAAGAACCTGAATAGACAAAGAGATGGATGAAGTAGAGGCAGAGGAATAAACTGCCTACAATGGCAAAGCAGCTATGCTTAAGTATTCAGCACTGATCCTTGATAATCATATTCCATAAGCAGCAGGGACTGGGAGTGCTGTGGAGAAAATACACTAAGTCCCCGGGGAAAAGATATGCCTTCAAGATATTGTCTTGAATCTACTTAAGGCTGATTAAAGCAGCCTCAATAAACAATATCCAGATCTCCAAAGATAGTGAAGGATCCCCTTTATGGGCAACTTCTGTGAGAGTAAGAGGGAAAGGTGGTGAGGAAGGAAGACTGTATACACAAGGGTTTTCAATTTTCAGGGGTTATAAATTCCCCAAAACCTCAGAAATAACACCCCCTAAAGTATTTCAGTCCCTACCACCATATTAAAAAGCATGTGCACATAGTGTGAAGGAGAAATGGTGTAAAGAAGATCCAATCTTATATGAAAGCTTAAACAGGTACATAAAGTCCAAAATGTTAGATTTTAACAACATTTTTTTAACAAAGAAACCTCAAAAAAATACTCCAATAAGAGACATACAACTAACCAATTGTGTGTGATAAAAGGGATTACACATTAACAAACTTTGACATTAAAAAAGGAGGACTGGCAAATCAAATTCATGTTAGAAAGTATTATAATAAAAGACTCAGGTAGCTGTAGAGTTTTATCAGTTTCTGCACAAATTTCCCACTTGTTAGCCAAAGGGGGGGAGGGGGTGGAGAAGGAGGAGAGAAGAGAACTTTTAGAGTTGTATGGACTGTCAACAACTGATTTGCCAGCATATAGCTGAAACCCCCGGAGAGGCAGGAACCATCTACAGCCCAGAGCTTAACTTAAGTGCACAGCCTGAGCAGCCAAACTGGGTAATGGATAGTTTCTCCACAGCTGTCTTAACATTTTCCTTTCTTTCCTCAGGTCATTTTATAGTAGCAAAAATTATTTTGGCCTCACTGTGGTTTGCATCCCTAGAATGTCAAGATAGAAAAGGGATAGAGTATTTGTTTAACAGCATATCCTCAGCCTTCAAATCCTGACTGCACATCAGTATACAAGAGCTGCCACAGAACTGGTTCTTTAGCAAATAGCCAATTTGCCTTCCTGGCATGAAATCCCCATATCCTCAGCCTCCAACGCTAGTGATGCTGTAAAAGGAAGATGCGAGATTCCCCCATTCATTTTAAAAGTAATTAAAATGTTATAATATTTAACAAGCTAACCCTTCAAAGTTGTCTGGAAGTTCTGGAAGATTTACACCATGTCCCTCTAATCTACCCCAAAATCCTACACAACTGAAGTGATGGCACTGAGAAGAAAAACTACACCTAGTAGATGCATCACGTACCTATACTTCCACTGAAACAAGAGTTCTATTGTGCACCTTGGGCATGGTGCTAGAACCCCAAGAATAAGATGTACTTCTAAATGCTGCTTTACTATTTATGGTTATTAAAATGCTTCCTATCACTAGCGTAGATAGATACATGCACGTTACTCTAACGAAAGTCACCACTATAGCATGTCAAGATTTATTCCCAAAAAATAAGCTATTAACCTGACCATCACACCTTTGAATGGCACCTAGGTCTTGCTTGACCAATCTCATTTCCTTCTACGACCAGGTGACCTATCACCTGGACAAGGGAGAAGAGATTGATGTCATATATCTTGACTTCAAAAAAGCCTTCCATCTGGTGTCCCATGATCACCTCTTGGTGAAACTGGCCAATTGTCGCCTTGGGTCCACCACGATCCACTGGCTGGAAAATTGGCTCCCTGGTCAGACCCAGAGGGTAGTAATTGATGGAAGTCACTCATCATGGTGTCCTGTGACCAGTGGGGTCCCCCAAGGCTCTGTCCTTGGACCCATATTGTTCAACATCCTCATTAATGATGTGGACACTGGAGTCAGAAACGGACTGGCCAAGTTCACTGATGACCCTAAACTTTGGGGCAAACCATCCACACCAGAAGACAGGCAGGTGACCCAGGCGGACCTGGACAGGCTCAGCAAGTGGGCGGACGAGAATCTGATGGTGTTCAATGCCGATAAATGCAAGGTTCTCCTCCTTGGGAAGAAAAACCCGCAGCATCCTTATAGGCTCGGCAGTGCTACCCTGGCTAGCACTATGGAAGAAAGAGACTTGGGGGTCATCATCCACCACAAGATGAACATGAGCCTGCAGTGCGATGCGGCGGCTAGTAAAGCGACCAAAACGCTGGCTTGCATCCATAGATGCTTCTCAAGCAAATCCCGGAACGTCATTCTCCCCTTGTACTCGGCCTTGGTGAGGCCGCAGCTGGAGTACTGTGTCCAGTTTTGGGCTCCACAATTCAAAAAGGATGTGGAGAAGCTTGAGAGAGTCCAGAGAAGAGCCACACGCATGATCAGAAGTCAGGGAAGCAGACCCGACGATGACAGGCTGAGAGCCATGGGGCTCTTTAGCCTGGAAAAGCGCAGGCTCAGGGGTGATCTGATGGCCACCTATAAGTTTATCAGGGGTGACCACCAGCATCTGGGGGAACGTTTGTTCACCAGAGCGCCACAAGGGATGACGACTAGGTCGAACGGTCATAAACTACTACAAGACCGTTTCAGGCTGGACATAAGGAAGAATTTCTTTACTGTCTGAGCCCCCAAGGTCTGGAACAGCCTGCCACCGGAGGTGGTTCAAGCGCCTACACTGAACACCTTCCAGAGCAAACTGGATACTTATCTTGCTGGGATCCTATGACCCCAGCTGACTTCCTGCCCTTTGGGCAGGGGGCTGGACTCGATGATCTTCCGAGGGCCCTTCCAGCCCTAATGTCTATGAAATCTATGAAATGGCATTGTATTTTTCTCAAAGTCACTAGACTCTAGGTCTATTAAGACAACAGGAATTAGGACAGGAGGAAAGGACGTAAAATCCAAAGGCCGCTACCTCAGAATGCCCTAAAACCAATCCCTGACTATTCAAAATCCAAACTGACCCACTATTTTTGATGACATGGATGTTATGTGGTTTCATAAGTATTAAGGAGTCAAACCACACATGAACTTAGGCATCAAAAGTAATGCTTTCATTTTTAACTGGAAGCTAGGGCAATTAACTGAAAGTTACTGAAACACAACATTGCTAAATAAATAGAGATGCCCGATTTCATTGGGAGCTACAGTTTTTATGGTAAGATCTCTGGCATGAGGAACATCCTGTACAGAGCGCTAGCAAAATTTCAGGCTTTGTCCACATTTGCCCAATTCTGCCACATAAAAAAGCTCTGGTGGCAGACAATGGCTGCCACTTATATCACAAGACCATCTCCACTTCCCACACACCCCTGGCAGTTCCAGACAGCTCCATTACAGCAGTTGTACCAATACAATATGAAGAACAAATGAGGAAGGCATCAGCTGCTAAACAGACTGCTCAAGCAGGAGTATCTACACACCTTCTGCTGGCTGTTAGACAGCATCAGAAGCCGTCATTTACATGAGAGATTCGGTACTATATCTCTACTGGCAGAAAGAGTTGGGGATGGAGATGGAAGGGAAGAGTTCTGCCACTTTGTAGATGCATGCAAAGTTCTGCCAGCACAACACTGTAGACCAGGGATCAGCAACATTTTTGGGCAGAGTGCCAAAAACACCAGCAACCTTGACTTAAAAAATATTGGTGTGCTGGGGGAAAAGGCAGGGGAACCGCGAGGGGCCAAATTCTTGTTGTGTCAGCATAGCCCAGGCCTCTTCCCTGCTGTCCACCCCAAGTCACACATGCCAAGCAAAATGCCTTCATGTGCCATGCTCTGGCACCCATGCCTGGGGTTGCCTGCCCCGGTATAGATTATGCCTCAAATCTGAAGGGCTCGTAAAGACATGGAAAACTGTGGCATGGTCCAGATCTGAGATACTGTCACTGTCATCTAACCAGGTAAAGAAAACTACAGGTCCTTTGCCTACTTGGTACTTTCTTTAAGAACAATCAGGACTCCAAAAATCCCCTCAAAATGCAAGATTTCTTCACTATGGCTGGCTACACTTAATGATGAAGGGATTGTTCCTAACCTGTAAAACCTCCCTTCCCCAACCTACCAAAATCACTCATCTTATCTTCAGTGAAATGCACTTGCATCAAAACCCCAATTTTACCCAACCAGGAAAGCAAAGATGACCCACCTGCTCCTCATTTTTTCAATAGGGTCTATTTCTCTGCCCTTGGACTTTTGCTAGGTGTTAGACACACACACACGACAGGAACACAGTCCTATCAGAGCTCACAATCTAACTTCAAGGTGCAACAGCAGATATAACAAACAGCAGGAACTACATTAACTTAGCTCTGCAGAAACTATTTAATTAAAGGCAGGTAACACTGGCTTCCTCTTTTCAAACAGATGAAAAATACTTACATTCTTGAAGTTCCTCATCATTCCATTTAAGATTTGCAGGTAGACAAGCCAAATCTAGCATGACAGGCATCCTTCCACGGTAGGTTTGCAGAGAGACAAGCCAAACAAGACAGACATTACTGTCATGATGTCAAAGTAATACAATAGAAATAAATTATTCTAGGGTACAGAAGGAAACTGATAATTTTGCCCTCATCAACATAAGCAGGATGAAGGAGATTCCCCAAGAATTTGAACCAATATTCCTATATAGAACAAGGCTGTCCAACTCACAGCCCAAGGCATATGCATCCTGCAGGCAGCCAGCTGGCTGTCAGTCTCCCCATCTCTTTGTGCCGCTGCTGGGAGTCTCCAGGTTCTCCCTCTATCCTGCAGTTTCTGCTTCTTGCCCCTGCACCCCACTTGGCATTTGGGGGCCATACAATGTGCAGCCACCAGCTGCTAAGAAGTTTGACAGCCCTGTTATAGAATAATCAGTATGCTGTTTTCTCAACTTCACATTTTTGAAAGGAGAATATACCTTGAGAAAGCACAATCACAGTAAAACCAACATACCCTTCACAATGAATGCCCAACCATTGGTGTCAGAACCTGAGGGAAATTTTGCTTGCATCACCCAATCCATCTTCTCTACTGATGATGGATAAAGCCCATTTCCAAAGAAAAAAAGGACATTAAAAATAGCATCCCACCTCAGATTTCTTATTTGAGTTACCTTGCCTGTTCAATTATTTTCTCCAAGACATTCACACTTTACAGTTCTGAACTGCCTCCATAGTTCTTTTGATTTCTAGATGCAAAACATTTAACATGAAAAAATGTGTCTGGGGCGCTTTTGCACCTGTGACGCAAGAGGCTGGATATTCCTATGAACTCCTTGGGACAAATGGTTGTCTGCAAATGCAGCACTAAACTCTAAGGCCCAGAACGTCCCTTCCAGTCCTACATTCCAGTCTGCCACACATGTGACCAGCAATCCACCTCTGCAGGGCTACATCAGATTGTAGGACAGATGTGGTACTCTCCTGCCAGAAAAGGGAGAGGTGGGGGGTTCAACCACTGTGTAGGTGCACTACATTACAGTGAGATTTCAGCACCAGCTAGATAATCAGTATTTTTACTTGGAATTAACACACCTATAATGATTAAGTCTGATAAGCTTTCTGAGTTAAAACTTATTTCTGCAGAGTACTTCACAAGTCATGAAAAGATATAAAGGTATTCTAATCTATATTTTCGACATTGAGTCAAAAAGACCAGTCATGGATAAAGAGAACCTGTTCCCATTCAAGTAACAGATCCAGAGTCTAATACAATATAGTGTCATTTTGCCACCATGTTACCAGAGGCAGCATCTAAGCAGATCTAATTTACAGCACTTATGGACAAATGGTAGGAAGATAATAAAAACCACCATCCGTATTTTTCCACAAATATCTGCCACAAAAGAAATCACTGTTCTTTTTACTTGGGCATTTATTCCCAAACAGATTCACTCAACAAACTTTTAACATGTCTTAAGAGTTGATTCGATACTTGTTCTACAAAAGACACTGGGACTGATCCCATTAAGGCGACATGAAGATTTATAGCTAAAGACTACCTAAAATTCTAATTACATAACCTACTTACTGAATTTAATTTCCATAATCTCCACAACTACTTAGAAAGAAGTTTCCCTCTTTTTTTTTTTTTTTAAACTCTAAATTCACAGAAGTTAGCCATATTTTGTCAAATAAATAATTTTGAAAAAAAACCCAACCCCTCCCCCCGCAAAAATACAACTTCACCTTTTCTGGCTAAACACATACACAGCCCTCTTCCTTCAAATTATAAACTTCTCACTCCTGCACTCTTTAGTAACTTTGCAGACACAGGCCACAAGTCCTAGTCCATGGTGAAATAACAGATAGTCTCCTCTTTTATTTCAGCCCAAAGAAGATGACTGAATTATTCAGATGTTTAAGTTACTTTCATACTTTTCTGATGCTTCAAGCAACAGCTGTCTCCTAAACTGAGCTGTAAAATCCACTTGCCTGGTATCTTATGTTTCAATTCTCCATCTCGCTCTGTATTCCTACTAAGGACCCTAAAACGCAACTAGAAAATAGTGGGATTGAAGGGCAGAGAGATAATTAAACCCAAACTGCTGAACACGTTAAATCTGCTGTTTCATCCTGGATGCAAGGAACTGCCTGTTTGGCAGGAGTTTTGCTCTACAAGTATAAGAAATCGTTACCTCAATCCCTCAAAAAGGAAAGTGACAGAGGGAGGGCAAGGATTTCATGCAAACCATTCTTCTGGGTCCCTTCTGTCAAGTCAACTGCCTTGGCCCTAATGCTCTGCTTGATTCCATCTCTCCATGTCCTTTCCAGCCTCATCTTCTACATATCTCAGACCTTACCAGAGAATCACAAACGGAGGCTAACAACGCTGTTTGGCATTTCTAGCTTTAAAGTCTCGCTCTTTAGACCTCTATAGAATGGATACCTTAATTAGCTAATATCATAATAGCATGTTAAGCAATACTGTTTAAAAAACACACTTTTCATTCTTTGTCCACTAAAATCTGTTACGAAAGGTATCTCACCAATCAAAACACTTTTTGCCCAAGATTATTCTGATTTAGATGAAGGACAGATAAGGAAATCTTCAACCTGAATCCAAATTGACTTTGTATAATTCCAGGTGCACCACAGGAGACATTTTTTGTCACAACTCAGTTTTCTCAAGTGATTCTTATATGTGAGAAATGAATGAAGATAAGGTGCAGGAAAGAGGCAATCTATTAAATATTTAACTCAATCCAGAATTCCATGAAAAGCTCCCCTTTGTGAACCATTTAGGAGAGAGGTATCAAAGATTAGGTCTGCAGAACAAACCAGCTTCAAAGCTCCATCATCTGGCTCCTGGGCTGCCCCAGGGTTGACCCAAATGCTGCCAAACTGGCCACACAGGGCCCAGGACAGACGCTGCATGCAGTGCCTACTCTGACCAGCCCAAGACCCATGCTACATGGTATCCACCTGGGCCACTCCAGAATCGCACTGCGTGGGGGGCCTGCTCCAGCTGGTCCAGGACCCATGCTGCATTTGCCCCAGGCTGGTACCCCATGTGATGCAGGTCCCCAACCAGCACTGGATCCTGCCTCAAGAATTGCTCAGTCCTCCGTCCCCAAACTGTACCACCTCCATAAGCTAGCAGGCATCTAACCAGTCTGCTTCCAGACAGCCCATCCTTACTACTTCTGTGCCAGAAAGCCATCCTTGCTACTTCTGTGTTTGAACTAAAGCTCATCAAATGAGCTTTAGTTCAAGTGCCACCACCACCATTTTTAAAGTGCAAGGTCACTTTTAACTGGAGCTGCGCCTATCATTCACCATCCCACTTTCACTTCTTACCCAGACATCAAATGATGGGACACTTTCACTGAGGGTGAGGGTCCTCAGTGGTACAGCCTGTATTCCACCTGAACCCCATGAGCCACCAGTGATCTAGGTTTCTTACTCATTCACAGGGCTTACCTGGCACACCCTACAGACCCCCACCCCCCATCCTGTGCTCAGAGGGAAACCCTGGATGCCTACCTTGTGCTCAGGGATCTGCAGCCTCTTTCTCCCTCCACAGGAACCTATTGAGATTCTAGTTGCACTTGTCTGCACTAGAGCTACACCTATATATCGGTGCCATATCAGATCGGTACCAATTAATGGAAAATTAACATTATCAGCTACCAGCTTTTTTGGCCAGTGTAGCCAATGTCACCAATAAATATAATATGCTTTCTGGCTGGAGCCCCAGAATGCTGCGTGCATGTGTGCAGCTGCAGCATGCACAAGGATAGGAACACAGCCAAGTAGTGTGGAGAGCAGCACCCTGCAGGTAAGTCTGTGGAGAGGAAGGAGTATGGGGGGGGATGGGGAGGGCAGATCGAGCACACCACAGGGAGGAAGAGAGGGGGAACAAGGGGGGGCATAGACAGAGGCTGAAGCTGCTGCCCAGCCAGGGCACTAAATGGGACCCTGGGACCACAGGTGGCTCATCCGAGGGGCGCAGAGGAGGCGGGGCAGGTCCACACTGCTGTGTACACCCCCCCAGGGAGGCATGGAAAGCCTCCCCAGGGGATGTGCCCCCCTCCCTCAGATTTGTGCGCAGGGGTAAAGCAGGCTACCCACTGTGGATTTGGGGTTCTCCACCCTGCTGCCTTTGCCCCGGGGAGCCGCACACCAGCCACACATCCCCTGCCCGTTGGGCAGCAGTGGCAGTGGCGAGTTATTGATGAGCTTTAGTTCAAACACACCCAGCACCATTTTTAAGCACCAGAACACTGATCCCCTGGACAAGCTGCCCATGGTTCCCTGGCCCCAGGGTCCCATTCACCACCCTAGCTGGGCAGCACCCCCAGGCATAGTCCCTGCCCCATTACCTCATTCACTGTGGCGGCCTTGATCTGTCCCGCTCACGTTGTTTCCCTTCCCCGTGCCCCTTCCCCTCCACAGACTTATCTGCAGGGAACTGCTCTCCACGCTGCCTGGCTGTGCTCCTGTAAATCACTTATTGGATCAGTATCAGCCAATATGCCTGGTGAATAATCTGCTATTGGTATTGGCCAAGAAAATCTTTAGTAGTGCACCCCTAGTCTGCACATATTTTATTTTATACACAAATTCTGTGTGCAGCCCCAACAAGTCAAAGGACCTTCTGGTTAATCTCCTCTTTGCCCCGATTAAGATTTCCATCTGCCAGACCAGAAAAGTTGCTGGCCAGAGGGAACCTGGCAACTCTGAGGCCATCTTCCTTTCACTCATCTGTGCATGGCCCTGAGCAGAGTTTCACTGGGCAACAGCCACAGGTTCCTTTATATTTGAGGGGCAGTGGGCACTAGCCTGTGTCCTCTGCTAAGTGTCCACCCTTGAGGCAATAAAGGAAGGAATCTAAGAGAGATTCTTGAATGGAGGCTCCACAGTCTGAGAAAAATAAAACCAAGGTCCCAGGCAGGACTAGATTCTCTGGCTAGTGGGTAAAGTATATGTAAGAAGCTTTTAAGAAACTTGGGTGACTGAGCATAGCTATAGAGGAGGATGGCAAGCTATCACTGTTGTGTTTAATTAAAGTTATTAGTTATGAATAGACGTCTAGTCCCTCATCTCCAAGTGTAGCAGATAGTAGAGGATCTTTGGTATTGAGACATGAACCATATTAAGAACTTGTAACAATATGAATGATTTTTTTCGAGTAGATACCATACTTACTCCAATGTAAGACTACCATGAATATAAGACAGTGCATCAATAATTAGATTCTATATATGAAAAATGTAATAATTTATCATTTTCCAGTGTACAATCTAATTATGAGAGGGTTGTCTTGAATGCAACCCCTCCCACTGCTACAGCATGAAATACAGTGGCTAGGGGAGAGAGAGAAAGTAAGGTACTCCTTGACCTCTGCCACCCCGTCCCTTCTTCCTCCTGCAGCCTTTCTGCTGCCCTCTACCACCAGCCCCTGCTCAGGCTGCGTTCTCTTCCTGAGCACAATGTGGAAGTGAGATGT